CTCCTCCTCCTCCTCCTCCTCCTCCTCCTCCTCCCCCTCCTCCTCTTTCTTCTCAATGCGCGGCGCGATGCGCGGCGCCTCAAGAGGAGGACGAGGAGGAGGAGGAGGAGGAGGAGGAGGAGGAGGAGGAGGAGGAGGAGGAGGAAGAGAAGGATGAGGAGGAGGAGGAGGAGGAGGAGGAGGAGGAGGAGGAGGAGGAGGAGGAGGAGGAGGAGGAGGAGGAGGAGGAGGGGGAAGAGGAGGAGGAGGAGGAGGCGGAGGAGGAGGATTCCACTGCGCGCCTTCCTTCCCTTTTTTTGCATGTGCAGGTCATGCGCGCGCCGCCCTGGAGCCTGGCCGCACACGATGCTGGGAGCAGGCGAGCAGAGGCGCGGCGAACTCCCGAAGGGTAAACAGTGCAGGGACGGCGCTGGGCAGGCCACGGGGAGCCGAACAACTCGTTGCAGGAGTGCTACCGTGGATGTAAACCATTAACGCGAAAATTATTCATACCATTGGATTTCGCCATTCAAAGGCCGCGAGTTCCACGTAAGGCAAGATCGGCAGCTGCCCGCGAAAATGTAAACAATACACGCGAAACACGGAAGCACTTGTTTCAACCTGGGGCCGTTCATGCCCAGCTTGCGTTCCATATCTTTGAATGGCGGAATTCAATGTTACGGATGGGTTTCGCGTTAATTCTTTACATCCACGGTAGTATCGTTCACGAACAGACCAACGCACATGATCCCCCCCCCCCGGACGCCTTCACTTCACTTTTTTCGCATAGGATGAACGTGCCGTGCTGAAACCTGGTACCACACGAGCCTGGGAGTGGGCGAAAACCAACGCGCCTAACTCCCATATCACGCCATATATGGTGTAATCGACTCAAAAACACCAAGAGGAGCGGGAACGCGCCTGCCATGAACATTCAAAGCAAGACGCGGCGGCAACGGCACAAGGCGGCCTTTCAAGAGCATGCCATTCAGGGCCGTGACCCGTTCGTCCAAGTATATTCTCAGCGGCACGGGGAGCAAGACATAGCCCTTCATCATGATGCCTGACTTCTCGCACCGTTGCGCAGACGTCTTAGACATCCAGCCACCACGACGCTGCATATCCAAGAGGCTGCGGAACTTTCGATATACGCCCCGCGAGGCATCAGCACACCGCACCGCAGCTGGCACGGCACCAATGCTCGGTCCGACCACTGTCCCCGCTTCCTGATCTCACGCGCCAGCTTCTGGGAATCTCACGCACTCGCTCCAGAGCTTGCACATCCCAAGGCGGCGCGCCGCCCCGCGCACCTGCCTGCGGGGCCCGGGTGGAGGTCGGCTCTGCGAGCGAGGCCGCGCGCCACGGGGAATCCACGAGGACGGGGGGCCTCGCGCAAGCTGCAGCAGGGGCCCGGGCTTGAGATTGGGCGCCGAAAGGCATGGTGGCCCAGGTCTTCGCCCCGACGACCCGCCCTTGCCATACGTGGCATCCTCGGGGGACCTTGTCTGTCCCGTCGCGGCCCTGTCCGCGTCGAACGCGTGTCGAATCCATGTCGGACGCGTCGGATCCGTGTCGAACCCGCGTCGGATCCGCGTCGAATCCACGCCAAGGCCGCGTCGAGTCCGCATCGAGCCCGCGTCGGGCCCCCCCAAAGACACCAATTTTGGGGACAGGCGAGGTCCCCCGAAGATGCAACGGCCCGGGCTTGAGATGAACGCCGAAAGGCATGGTGGCTCAGGTCGCCGCCCCGACGACCCGCACTTGCCAGCAGCGACGCTGCGGCAGCGACTGCTGGCCATCGCTCGGACGTTCATTTCCTGCGCTTTTTTCGGTTTCGTGCGTGGCTTTTTCGCGAAATGATCAAGGATGCTCCTCGATGGTCTTCGCCGAAGGGAAACATGCACACGTCCGAGCGATGCCAAGACTGTCGGGGAGGTGAGCGGCCGGCGGCCGCGGGGAGCCACGGCTTTGAGCCTCGGGGGGAGCCACGGCTTTGAGCCACGGGGGGAGGAGGGGGAGGAGAAGGAGGGGGAGGAGAAGGAGGAGGAGGAGGAGGAGGAGGAGGAGGAGGAGGAGGAGCCACAGCAGCGACGCCGCGGCAGCGACCGTCGGGGAGGCGGGGCGGGCTCGGCCGAGGCCACCGGCTGCCCGCCCGGACACCCCCGGAGCGCGCGCCGAGGCCGCGGCCCGCTCCTGGCCGACGCCCCAGGCCGTTGCCGAGCAAGGGCACCCGCGCAGGCCAGGGGAAGCGACGAGGGGGTCACGGCGAGGTCTCTTGCGCCAATGGTGCCCGCCTGCCGCCGGTGTGTCCTTCGACGCGGGCGGCGAGGACCTCGGCGCAGCTCGCGACGCTGACGCCGCGTTCGCTCGCCGACCGAGCTTCGGCTTTTTGGTGCCGGAGCGCGCTTCACGCGTGCGGGCCTCCTCGCCCGGCCGGTCCTGGGCGCGCGCGCGCGCTGTCCTTCCTCCTCCTCCTCCTCCTCCTCCTCCTCCTCCTCCTCCTCCTCCTCTCCTCTCCTCCTCCCTCCTCCTCCTCCGCCTCCTCCTCCCCCTCCTCCTCCTCCCCCTCCCCCTCCTCCCCTCCCCCTCATCTCCTCTTCCCCTCCTCGTCCACTCTGCCATCTTCGCGCAGGGTCTTTTGGCTTCAGGTGCGCGGTTGGGCGACGCGGCGGCGCCAGGCGCACCCCGCCCCGCTCCGTTTTTTTAAGCGTCAACGTGTCCCTCTTAGTTCAGCTGCGCCCTCCGCCCTCGACGCGGTCCAGGCCCTAGCGGTCAGGCCCAAGGGGACGGGAGCTCTAGGAGCCGGGGGCCTGTATACAGAGGGTCTGGCCTTACGTCGCTGAGCGACGGCCCCCCGCCGCCGCCCGCCGTCTTCGTCCGCGCGGTCGGCGGCCCTCGAGGCCTGGGGGGGCCCGGTCGCGTCGTCCCTGCAACGCGGCCGCCCGCCCTTTCTCCGTCGGCGGGTTATCCGCCCGACGCAGCAGCGCTCGCAGCTCCCGCTCCTCCGTCGGACGAGCTCCCCAGCGACTCCCTCGCCGAACGCGTCGCGAGCCCAAGCGAGCGGAACGGTGGAACGTGGAGCAGCCTCCTAGCTGGCCAAAGCGGCCACTGACCGATCGCGCGCAATGCGGCGCGCCCCAGGGGTGACCTTCAACTCGCAGCAACTTCCCCAACGCAGACCTGGATCTCTCGACGGCTGGTCGGCGGCGCTGAACTCGCTCGGAGTCCAGCGGGGCCCTAGGAGTACACTTCCTGCTAGAGAACGACCGGGGCATAAAGAAAGGCAGAACTCACGCCCTGGAGGTCAGAATTCAGCGCGACGCCCGAAATGTTGCCCTCCAAAAACAAGAAGACGGCAACCGCGAAACCCGGGCTCCCGCCCCAGATTCGCAACTCCCAGGACATCGGCGCTGGCCCCCCCCCCTCTCGCGGACGGCCCCCCGTCTCCCGGCGCAGCAGAACAAAGCCCTCCGGCCCTCCCCGGCGAGGCCCTCGAACGGCAACTGTGGTGCCCATGCAGCGAAGATGCGCGGGCGCGGGGTGCGACACGGGAGGAGTTATTCTTTAAAGTAAGGGAGATAGAGGAGGAGGAGGAGGAGGAGGAGGAGGAGGAGGAGGAAAGGAGCGAGTGGGAGAGGGGAGGAGGAGGAGGAGGGAGGCGGAGGAGGAGGAGGAGGAGGAGGCAAGCGCGCGGTGCACTCCGTGGAAACAGTTGTCGCCATCGAGCGAGGCCCCGCGCGGGCCCGCGCCTCTCCTCGACCTCCAAGCCAGCGAAACTCGGGAAGGGCCGACGAGGTCTTGGAGGATCGCGAAGAAGCCGGTTGCTGCGCCGCGCGTCGATGAGAGCCCTCGTCGCCCGTTCTGTTTTCGGACGAAACGGGAGGCGGCAATCTCCGTGGGCGCGGCGGACCATCTAGCCAAGCCTCGAGCGCGCAGCATCTTCAGAAAGCGCACGCACTCGCGGCGTCGAGTGCGCAGCTTCTGCTCAAACTCCAGACTGGTGGACTCGCACAACGCTCTCACTTGCATCGCTTCCTCCACGACTCTCATCATGCTCTCCTGCAAGTTCTCCGCGGACACTCGCGGACGGCGGGCCGGAGCGAGAAAGGCTGTTCCTCTTCATGGGATGAGGGTGATGGCGGAGGTATTCCCGAGGAGGAGGAGGAGGAGGAGGAGGAGGAGGAGGATCCCGAGGAGGAGGGGGAGGATCCCGAGGAGGAGGAGGACGAGGAGGAGTTGGCTGTGGCCAGTGGCCAATTGAGCGCTGCTCTCGGGGCGTGCTCGAGCGGCTCGGCCACGGGCGGCCAGCGATGCTGGAGGCCCCGCCACGAGCCCGCCGAGGCCCAGCCGCGAGATCGCGGGAAGTTTCCGGGGCCGAGCGCGGTCGGCGCCAACAGATGGTCGCCTTCGCGTTTCGCACCTTCGCGGCGAATGAGGTCAGCGAGGGGGGGCTGGATCGATCGGCAGACGATCGGGGCCAGTGCTCCAAGGGATGAGGTCAATGTCGCGCCCCGTCGCGGTAACGAACAGGATAAGGACGGAGACGATGCGGATAGGGAGGGCGGGCGATGCCCGCCTCGCGCGTTCGTTCCGACGATGGCGTTCGCCGCAGCCGCTGAGCGCGGTGGGCACACTTGCAGGCGAGAGCGACGTGCGCGGAGGAGGGAGGAGGGAGGAGGAGGAGAGGGAGGAGGAGGAGGAGGAGGAGGAGGAGGAGGAGGAGGAGGAGGAGGAGGAGAGGAGAGGAGGAGGAGGAGGAGGAGGAGGAGGAGGAGGAGGAGGAGGAGGAGGAGGGAGGAGGAGGGAGAAGGCGGGACGAGGGAGATGACGACGACGACGACGACGACGACGACGACGACGACGACGACGACGACGACGACGACGACGACGACCACGATCCTGCCCGGGGGGGCCAACGGCGGCGAGGGCACGGGCAAGACGGGATCGCCGGGCAGAGGCACGGAGGCGGCCACGGGTGCGAGCCCGAGCCCGAGCGCAGGAGAGGTAGGACACGGGCGGGTAGACAGTGACTGCCTACCAGACCACCCCAACCCAACCCGAAGACCCGAATTTCGGGTTGGGGGGGGGGGTACGGATTACATGTGTGTTTTTGGGATGTTCCCCGACGCCCCCCCCCCTCTGGAGATGGAGGGCACATCGGGGCCTCCGGGTTGGGTTTGGGGTGGGTTGGTGGGTGGTGAGATAGGGATGCGCCGTGCAGAAGATCGCCGGCTACACAATGGGAGGGGAGCATAGGAGCGGAGTCAGCCTGGAAGCGTGCCTCAGAGGTCGACGAGTGTACTACATCACTTCAGGGCCTCGCGACCACGAATTTGCACGGTACGACCACCGGTCTTTAGCGCCGGGTCGTGATTCATGCGTTGAACATACTCTTGAGAACACTCGTGATGATGTATGCTCGTTTTCTCGAGCAGTACAGGAGGGGAAGGAGGAAAAGGAGGCGGAGGAGAAGGAGGAGGAGGGAGGGGAATGCCAAATCACAGCGGCCATCTGGGCGTAAGTGGTTTAGAATGTCCGTTATCCCAATTCAGTTTGGTCGCCCTCTCTGTACCCCCTCCCTCAAAGTAAGTGGAAGAGGATGTTACACTAGGGATTGGACAGCATTGCTCGAAGAAGAAAAAGGGAAGCGGAATGAGGAGGGACAGGGGGGACAGAAAAACGATAGCTTCTGAGGGAAATAAGAGGAAGACGAGGAAGAAAAGGAAACATTCAGCTTGGGCTTCTCCCAAGTTGACCAGGGATGAGAACGAAGAGGAGGAGCAGGAGGAGGAGGAGGAGGAGGAGGAGCGGGAACAGGTGAAAGGATGATGGGAGAAGAGGAGGGGGGGTGACCGTTGACCGAGCATAAAGAGCAGGAGTGGGGCGTGGGAGGAAGACTCTTCGTCCTCGGGAAGGGAGGAAGAGGAAAACGAAGAAGAGGCGGAAGAGGACGAGGAGAAAAGGGCTCGCTTGCGCTCCCCGATGACCACCATGGCGACCACCTCTTCCGGAAAGTACAGCTTCCAGGGGTACGCCGCGTGCAGCTCTGCGTTGGACCTCTTTCCCCGCATCCTCCTTTGGCTTGACAGAGAAAGAGAGAGAGAGAGAGTGAGTGAGGGAGAGAGAGAGAGAGAGAGGGAGAGGGAGAGAGAAAGAGAGAGAGAGAGAAAGAGAGAGAGAGAGAGAAAGAGACAGACAGACAGACAGACAGACAGACAGACAGACAGACAGACAGACAGACAGACAGACAGACAGACAGACAGACAGACAGACAGACAGAAAGACAGACGGACAGACAGACAGACAGACGGACAGACAGACAGACAGACAAACAGGCAGAGACGGAGACAAAGACATAGACAGAGAGAGGAGTCGCTCACCTATACTTCTCGCATATCCTGGTTCCGTTCACTCCTGTCTGCTTGCTGCTGCTGGCCCTCTGAGTGGGCTGCTCTTGTTTGTTAAACCCCTTGGACACCACCGCCTAGCGCGAAACTGCCACCACTTTCGTCAATCCATGGTGGTCCAGCCGAGTGTTGACACACGCAGATCTGGATGAGACCTCGCACCGCTGGACCGCTGGGCGATGCCACGCGTGCATCTGCCATCACTTACGAGAATTAGGTCGGGCGTGTCCACCTAAAGGCGGGCTTTGGACGAAAAATCAAACATATCCCGCAAATGCTCAAAAATATGGAAAACATGCTCAAAGAATGGTCCCCAAACTATTTTTTGACTATTTTTGAGCATTCCTCCTGTAGAGGGACAGGCCCGACCTAATACGAGGATGAAAACCGCGATGCTGGCAACGCTGGTGCACCAGCGTCACCCAATCGAGGCTTACAAACCACGGCCATCACATCGGCCCTGCTGCGCAGCAGGGTGGAACCGAAAGGCCATCTGCCGCCACTCTCCTACGCCTCCAGAGGGTCCAGCGGAGTGGTTAGGGGGACACATGCGAACCCTACCCCTACCCCCCACGATTTCTGAGGGGGAGGGTGGGGTTCACTTCGTGGGGGGTAGGGGTAGGGTTCGCATGTGGCCCCCTAGTGGTGATATCCGCAGATTCAGGTGACACCCAGCCACCCCGTCGACTGAAACCTCGCCATCCGAGTGAAACCCCGCCACCATCGCCCCCCCTGATCCGGGTGCTTAGGGGGCAAACTAACCTACCTCGCTTTTGACCACCCTCGCTTCCAAGAGATACCAAGCGATGCCAAACTACGGCCTGTATTGGTCAGGCCGCTCGACGAGGAGGCGCGTGGTATGATTTGGTTTTGCCTGGAAGCGAAAGCGGGGTAGGTAATCCACGCTCTGAATTCAGGTGACACCCAGCCACCCCGTCGAGCGAAACCTCGCCATCCGAGTGAAACCCCGCCACCACCGCCCCCCTGATCCGGGTGCTGCCGAGCGTGCTGCCGAGCGTGCGACCGTCGCCATTCTCCTGCGCTGCCGGGGCCCCCGCGGGGGGGGTGGGGAGGGCGGAGGAGTGGTAGGAGGAGGAGGAGGAGGAGGAGGAGGGGAAGGAGGAGGTAGAGGAGGAGGAGAGAAGGAGGAGAAGAGAGGAGGAAGGAGGAGGGAGGGAAGGATGAGGAGGAGGGAATGCGGCAGGAGAGTCCAGGCTCGAATCGATAATGGTGGCCGAGAATGTTCTCCGCTGCGCTGCCGAACACGCGCTGCGGATCCGCATTCACGGTGCTTGGACGGGCAACTGTCGCGCATCCGCCACCTGCGGCTCCCGGGGGGCGGTCCCAGCGGAAGCTGTGGCGCGCTGGCGGTCCCCGGGAGGTCGGCCCCCCCCTCCCCCCTCCTGCCGCCTGGATCCTCCCTCCTCTTCTCCCCCCGTCCCTCCTTCCTCCTCATCCTCCCTCCTCCTTCCTCCTCACCGCCCTCCTCCTCTCCTGCCGCCTGCCTCCCTCCCTCTCCTTCCTCCTCCTCGTCTCTTCCTCTTCCAGCGCCTCTCCTGCTCGTTCCGCCTACTCTCCTCCCTCCCCCCGCCATCCTCCCTCCTCCTCCTCCTCATTCTACCCTCCTTCCTCCTCCTCCTCCTCCTCCTCCCTGCTCCCCCTCCCCCTCCCCCTGGGAAGGAGCCACCCTCCCCTCCCTTCCTCTCCTCCTCCTCCTCCTCCTCCTCCTCCTCCAACTAATTCTTCTTCTTATGATTACGATTATTATTAGTACTACTTTTATTAGTATCATTATTACCATTACGATTCGCATTATTGTTATCATTATTGTTAGTGTTAGTACTATCATTATTATCCGCATCAGTGTTATCATTGGTATTGTTTATAGTATTATTAGCATCATTCTTATTATTATCATTAGTATTCCTATTCGTCTTCTTCTTAATATATTAGTATTCGTCTTCTTCTTATCATTAATTTTATTATTCCTACTCCTCCTCCTCCTCCTCCTCCTCCTCCTCCTCCTCCTCCTCCTCCTCCTCCTCCTCCTCTCCCTCCCCGGAGGACCTGACGCCGGCCTCGAGGCACGCCTTCAGGCTCGCAGGCTCGGTCGTGGGCCCAGGCTGAGCCTCGGTGAAGGCCGACTTGGGGCCGCAGTAGAACGTGGCCGAGAAGCCCTTCAGCTCGGTGACGGGGTCGCTTCCATCCTGAGGAAGAGGAGGGAACCCAGACTTCCGACAATACGATTTTTCAATCCTGGCGTCATCGTCGATTTCATCCCTCGGTGGCTGTGCTCGGGCCCTGGAACCATCAAAACGGATTCTGGATGAAAAAAGGGCCCCCTGTGCCGCGGATTGGAAAATCATCGGCGAACGTCTGGGAGCTTGCACGTGTTCTCACTGTCTTGTTGGGGGGTCATCTGGAGGTGTTCAACATATTCCACACATGGAGGCTTCTGGAGGCTTCTGGAAGCTTCCAGGGGACGGATGACGGTGGATGGAGGACGGAGGACGAAAAAAGAGAGGAGGCAAGAGAAGGAAGGCGTGGGGAGGAGAGGGTAGGATGGGGAAGATGAACAGAATCATGAGGAGGATAACCTGTGTCTCAACCTGCCCACCCCTCTCTCCTCCTTCCTCCTTCCCTCACCCTTCTTACATCTCCCCCACCCCCCTCCCGCTCCCTCCTTCCTCTTCCTCCTCCTCCTCCTCCTCCTCATCATCATCATCATCATCCCTCATCCACCTCTTATTCATACTTTTCGTATTAGAACTATCGTCATGAGTTGCATCATGAAAAAACAGCATTCACATTGCCACCGTTATGTGTTTTACTGTCCGTATGGTATGTGTGTGCTTGTTAACATTAGGATTATTCCTCCTCGTCCGCCTCCTCATGGCTCCTCCCTCCTCCTCTTCCTCCTCCTCCTCCTCCTTCTCGTCATCCTCATCCTCATCCTCCTCATCCTCGTTTTTCTCACCATACCATCACCATCGCCACCATCAACATCCTCACCACCAACACCATCACGATCACCATCACCATCATCATCAGCAACAGCATCATCACAGTCACACTCAAAAGCGCCGTCACCCTCATGATATTCGTCATTATCATCATGACCATGATCATGGTCATGATCTACATCATCATCATCATCATCATCATCATCATCATCATCATCATCATCATCATCAGCATCAGCATCATCATCAACAGCAGCATCAGCATCATCATCAGCAGCACCCTAATCGTCTGCATGGTCTTTATCATCGCCACCATCAACATCAGCATCAGCATCATCTTCATCGTCATCATCATCAGCACAACCACCACCATCATCATCATCACCATCATCACCATCATCAGCATCATCATCACCATCATCATCAGCATCGTCGTCATCGTCATAGTCATCGTCATCGCCACCATCCTCAGCATCATCATCACCATCAACCTCATCAGCAGCATCATCACCATCATGATCATCATCATAATAATAATAATAATCATCATCATCATCATCAATCATCATCATCATCATCATCATCATCATCATCATCATCATCATCATCATCATCAGCATCAGCATCATCATCATCATCATCATCATCATCATCATCATCATCATCATCATCATCATCATCATCATCAATCACTTTCGATATCATCCTTATTTTTATCATCTCGTCCTCTCTTCCTTGCCTCTCCGTCCCTCCCCCTCCCTCCCTCGCTCACTCCCTCCCCTGCCTCCCTCCCTCCTTCCCTACCTCGCTCCCTCCCTCGCTCCCTCCCTCCCCTGCCTCCCTCCCTCCCTCCCTCCCTCTCCTGCCTCCCTCCCCCTCCCTCCCTCCCCTGCCTCCCTCCCTCCCTCCTCCTGGAGGGGCGATGTTGCTCCCCGCGTCCGATGCGGTCGGAGCCACCACCTTGCTGAGCTGGCCGTCGCCCACCATCTCCCAGCCAGCGATCGACGTGTCTTCCACCTATCGGGCTTTTGAGCAAGAGCAAGGAGCTCGAGGAGGAGGAGGCGGAGGAGGAGGATGTGGAAGAGGAGGAGAAGGGGGAGGAGGAAGAGGAGGAGAAGGGGGAGGAGGAAGACGCGTGACGAGGAGGAGAAGGGGGAGGAGGAAGACGCGTGACGAGGAGGAGGAGGAGGAGGAGGAGGAGGAGGAGGAGGAGGAGGAGGAGGAGGAGGAGGAGGAGGAGAGAGCGAAGGCGGAGGCAGATAATTCGCTGCAGTTCGCTGATCTCCAAGCGGTGGCACCGAACTCGACCAACGAGGACCCCAGACGGCGGCCCTCGGAAGACGGCCTCCCGCCTGACAATGCCCAGCTCCCGGGCCAGAGACGCCTTGGCCGGCCCCTGGCGGCTGGGGAAGAGGCCTTTCCGAGTTCTTTGATCGCTCTGAAAGGCCTTCCTTGGTGCGGGTCCTGCGCGCGGCAACGAACTGGCTTCGGTCCTCCGTGGCCGCTATGCCGCACGCCAAAGCGAAGAGAGAGAGAGAGAGAGAGAAAGAGGGCATGTATGCATGTATATGTATAGATATATACACACACGGAGAGAGAGAGAGAGAGAGAGAGAGAGAGAGAAAAAAAAAAAGAGAGAGAAACAGGCGTAAGGCAGACACGAGGACCTCCGAACAGGGCAGGGCTTTTCAATCAACGCCCCAAGCCCTTTCGCAAACGCCACGCATCGGGTCCGGTTTCTTTTTCCCCCCCCTTGGCTACATGGCCCCAGTTCTACACGGGATCGACACGTTCCCCCGAAACGCCGCCCACGACAATCTACATATGGTGGACGTCGGCTGGCATTTCTTGACTGCCTACCAAGCCACCCCAAGCCAACCTGAAGACCAGAATCGGACCCGCATTTCGGGTTGGGGGGGAGAGAGCGGGTTCCATGTGCTTTCTCACTGTTCCCCGACCCCCCCCCACTGGAAATGGATGGCAAAATGAAGGAGGCCTTCGGGCTGGGTTGGGGTGGCTTCGTGGATGGAGATTTCTTTGGACGCCCGAAATGGGCACGGAACCAATAGGCACAATGCCCAACAGCAAATGTTGCCCCGAACCAGCAGCGGCCGCCGTTGGGCAGGCGGCCTCCTGTCTCAAGTGGACACAGGCCGCGGCGGCGCGGACAGCGAGCCCTGCTCAAAATGCACAGGCACTGCTGCCGGGCATCGTACCCATTCTTTCCGTGCCCATTCCGTGCGTGCAGAACTTCTGCCTGCGCCCGCGCGTCTCCTCCCCCTGCGGGCGGCTTTCCTCACGAGCGGCCCCGCGGCCCTGGGATTCCGGGGCGCGGCCCCGCGGACGCGCGGCCGCGCGGGGTGCGCTCCGCGCAGGGCGGCCGCGAGAGGACGCCCCGCGTCCGCGGGGGCGCGAGCCAGGGGCCTCGCCGGGCGCGGATACGGATATGCTTACAGGGCAGGTTTTAATACACAGGATTTTTAATACGTTGGATTTTTAATACGTGCTTAATTTAGAAATAAATCGATGCATACATTCATCCTTGCTTTTGATACTGAATCCCTTTATTTTTTATACATGATCCGCACGCGGAGCATGTATCAAAACCGGCGGTGTAGGTCGGGCATGTCCTCCTACAGGCGGATTTTGGGGGCGAGATATGTAAAAAAACTCCCAGCTAGCCAAGCATAATGAAACACTTGCCCCCGCACTATTTTTTCTGACCCTCTTTGAGTACTCCTCCTGCAGAGGGACACGCCCGACTCGAGGACGTGCGCGTCGCCCACGGGTCCCGCGAGGCGGGCCTTCGGGCTGCAGGTGCCTGACCGGGAGTTGCCCACCAGGACGCAGTCGGCGGAGGGCTGGCACTCCCAGTTCAGCGTGGACCACTCGCACGTCACGCTCGGGACCTGGGCCCCGCGGGGAAGGGCAGCAGGAAGGATGGGCTCCGGGAGGCCACGGGCCGTCCAAAAAGGCGAAACGCACGCACGCACGCGCACACACACACACACACACACACACACACACACACACACACGCGCCCACGCGCCCACGCGCCCACGCGCCCACGCGCCCACGCGCCCACGCGCCCACGCGCCCACGCGCCCACGCGCCCACGCGCCCACGCGCCCACGCGCCCACGCGCCCACGC